TTTTACTTAGGAAACTAGATACGTATATATCTATTTGCAAAATTTTTATCTTATTTAATGTTTGAATAGCATTAAGACCATATTCATTGATTTTTATAAGTAAAGCGTTAAAATTATTAAAAATATGTGCATTTCAGACTTTTGGCGGGTTGAGAGCATCCCCGGGTTTTTCGGCTGCTTTCGTTACAGCCTGGATCTCGTGATGGCTAGCTACTTTACTAAGAGTATTGTGTCTTTGGCCTCAAGTAGTTCTGTCCCTCTCACGCGCGGAAAAGTCACTAATATGTCTATTAGCTTGAGAAAAGATCCGGTCATATATAGCGCATCTCATCGTTTGACTCCAAACTCTTTCATCAAACTTCTTCCATTTGGCACTAAAACTATAGCTTCCTGCGGGATCTCAAGTACCTATATCTTTTATTACGATATTCAAGTTGGTCATCAATTTAGAACTTTTCATTCCGACGTTGCCAAAGTGCCTAGCTTCGACGAATATAGATTAAAAGACACCAAGGATCCCACTTCAAATACTTTTGAGTCTGAGATGGATCGAAAGTTCTACATGTACACAATGGCATTGGGTATGCATATTTCTATAATTTCATAATAACTCTCCTACTCTCTTTTCTAGGTTGCACCGTTATGGGCACCGTTGCTGCGAAATATACTATAAAGACATTTCTTTGGACCTTAGGTCCTGGGCTAAATGCTAAACAAGCCGGAAAAGTCGAGATTAAATTAGACGCTATCCCTGAGGGTAAAAATCTTGTCATCAAATGGAGGAGCAAACCATTGTTTATTAAACATCGATCCGAAGAAGAAATCGCAAGGGAACGCGCTGTTCCTCTATCTTCACTTCGAGATCCCGAAACAGACGAACAACGCGCTCAAAAAGGAAAGTGGCTTATCTGCTTAGGCGTTTGTACACATCTTGGTACGTATTATGCTAAATATGCCATATCCTCAATTTCATAATATTTTATTCCTTGCCTCCTATTGCATTTTTTCACTTAGGATGCATCCCGATAGCGAACTCTGGTGATTTTTCTGGTGGCTACTATTGTCCTTGCCATGGAAGTCATTACGATGCTTCAGGAAGAATCCGAAAAGGGCCAGCTCCTAAAAATCTAGAGGTCCCACCTTATAGTTTCTTGTCCGATGATGTTGTGCTTGTTGGGTAAACTTCCGCCCAAATGTTATTACTTTTCTTATGAATATATTTTAGATCCAGTTCCTTATTCAAATAGTAGCCTTTTAGGATGTTTCTTTTTATCTACGTTTATATAGGAAAACTTTTATTAATTGGAAGTAGCAAGTGTACAAAATTACACTGGTATTATACTAATGTGCTATTCATAAGAAATTCTAAATACTCAGACTCCTTCTGAATCACGTCAAATGTAACCATACTTGGTATCTACTGCATGATGTTTTCGTTTATAATCTACCAATTTTTTTCGTTTTTCACGCAGTCGTTATTATTCAGTTGTTAAGTTATTTTACTTCCATAAGCCAGTCCCTCTGCCCGGTCAACCTTAGCTAACTAGGATATCGACTTACTAAACAACTTGGAGATGTCATAAATATTTAGGCTCAACACTAGCTAGGCAATGTGTATAGCCCATTAAATCGCATGAAAAGCCCTATATTACAATTTTGAGATGGTTCTTACGCTTTTCTATATGGGCTACCTATCAGGTAAGCGAAAGCCATGGCGAATGATTTTAACATTTTAACTGCCTATGGACATATTAGCAATATACTTGCAGGTTTGTTTAATGTCTGATAGATGGGCATTGATTGTGTGCCTTTTTGCTACTGCCATTCTAGTTACGATTTGATGCATTAAAATCATATACTCAAGCGCAGGCGTGTAGGCTTACGTTACATAACGTGGAAAGGGCAATAATCTTAAGAAGTATTTTACCTCTAGAAGAACCTAAGCTTCCCAAGTCTCCG